GAAGAACAACTCCTGCTTTCTTTTAAGGCTCCCAGCAAAAACCCTCCTGTGTCGACGTGGATTTGCTGTGGAGTATTTTCATATTTTTAATATTTAATCCGAGGAATTTTTTATTATTATTATTATTATTATTATATTTTTGGTTTTACAGCTGCAGTTTTCGCTTGGGAGGGACTTTGAAAAAGAAATTACTTTTCTCCGGCGCGTTTTTCTGCCCTCCCTGGTGCGACTTTAGGTGTAGACACAGGTGTGCCCTGTGGGCTGGGAAGCTCCTTCATCCCCCCCTAAAGAGCTTCTGGAGGAGAAGGAGGAGGAGGAGGAGGAGGAGGAGAGGTCAGAGTGGGTTTTGACATTAGGAAGGACAATTGCTGTCAGGGTGTCTAGACAGACCTGATAAGGATATTAGAGGCTCACAAAGAGCAGCATTGTGGAGGGGTCAGGGAATCGGTCACACATGTTGGGTTTGCTGTATTTGTCAGGTAGACAGGGCTGGGAGGGGGGGAAGAAGTTGTTGGGGGGCTAGAGGGAGGGGGGAACGACTACAAATATCTTCATTATCGAGCGCTGGGTTTGGTTAAAAAGCGAGCTGTGGGTTGGTAAAGTTAAGGTTTAACTGTCTGGAGGGGGGGTGCATCTTCCTCCTGGAGGTGCTGTTTTCTTTTCAGCCAGTTGAAACTTCTCACCCCCCAGATTCATCCTCCTTCCTAATCCTTCAGGAGCATCTCTTCTGGTTAAGAGGGGTGGTGATGAATCCCAAGCAATTAAGGCCCCCAAAGAGGGGTTTGAATGCTCTCATTTGTAAACCCCTCGTTTTTTTTACAAGCCCATAAGCCAGGGAAGGTTTTGAAGGCAGATTTTGTGTAAAGGAGCTGTGATGAACCATCACTTACATCCACCTCTGGTAATGAATGTCTGAGTGTGCCAGACACTAATCAATACAGCAAGGCTTTAATATCAGCCTTGCCCTCAGAGCCAGAGCCAGTGATTTATCATTGTTGCTCCTATCTGCTGGCCTGTGAAAAGTCTCACTCCTGCCTTTCTGTGTGTTTTGCTTAACCTTAAATCTTGTTACACCGCTGTGGTTTTGTCCCTACAAGTGTGAAAGGTGGTTTGTTGTTTTGCTTTGTGTTTTTTTTTTATCCCCCTCTGTAAAAAACCACTCATGCTGATAACACAGAAAAAAATGATACTAAAGCACTGCTCGTGTTTATACACAGGAGGGGGGTAAGGATGGTGATGGGGGAAGCCAAAACCTCACGTTCTCTCTCAGCTGCCTTTTAATTTTTAATTTTTAACCTGGGGGAACGCAAGTTTGGAAGGGAAAAGAGCTGATCTGCGCTCCTCGGCCTGAAGTTTTGCAAGGAGGAAAATAAAAAGCCCGAGAATCGCTTCAAAGAGCAGCTCCAGATCTGAACCTGAGCCCGAGATAACTCGGTCATTCAGGAATATTTTGAAGTGCCCTTTGATGATTCTGCCTCAGAACCGTAAGAACAACTGCAGGGGTTGGTGAGACACAGAGCTGGAGATGAGGTGTGAGAGCACGTGGGCTCCTTCTGCCCTCAGGAGAGGAGGAAGGACTTGGAGAACCAGGGAATCATGGAATTGGTCTTGGAAGGGACCTGAAAGCTCATCCAGTTCCACCCCCTGCCATGGGCAGGGACGTTGAAGGTCCTGCTGGAAAAGTGCCCCCTGGTGCAGCCTGGCTCCTAAATTGGGGCTCAGCTGGTGGTTTAGTTTGTGAGCATTTTTTCCTCAGGCCACCGTGGGTTTATCCTTGAGTTCTTGGAAGTTTGGGTTTGGCGGCTCTGAAAGGTTTAATTCTGCAGTACCAGGTGAAAAAACATCCAAGTGGAGCCTTGCTGGTGGTTCTGGAGTGTCCCCAGAGGCCAAGGAAGAGCATCCAGAACCAAGGGGAGCTCCCAGTGTTGGGATCAAACAGTGCTTTCCACTCAGGAATACCTGGGGGAGGAGAAAAACCCACCCTTGTCTCTGGTTTTAAAGCCTTGGGATGTTTTCATGCCATGGAGGGAGAGAAAATTCACTGTGTGAGTTGAATCACCAGTGCTGTCACCGGGCCCCGAGAGCTCTTTATCTGACAACAAAATGTGAATTTACTCTGCAGGCCAGCACGGGTGATGGATCTAATCCTTCCACTTCTGCCTTCTCCACCTAGTCACTTCTTGAAAAAAAAAAAAAGAAAAAGAAAAAAAGCAGGGATTATGACACTCTCCCTCTATAAATAACGGAGCCAGCCTTCCCTTGGAGTGTGGGTGTTGCTGATAACTACTGTCAGTTAAATGTTGATGTCTTTGTTCACACACATCAGAGCCAAACAAACGGTCCTGTGGGTGGAACTGTTAACACAGGTGGGGAGATGCCTTTGTTGTTTCCATTATGGTTTGGGTTTTGTTGTTTTTTGGTTAGTTTTTTTTTTTTTTCACAGTTTTAGCTGTAAACTCCCTCCAGGTGCTGTTTACAAGGTTACACAACCTGCTGTAAACTGATATTAGTCTCTCACTCTGCCGTTAAACCTTCCAGAGGTAAATCCCGCGTCTGACCATCTCGGTTTTGTTGCTCCCCTGGCGTCTTTAGGAGCTGGAGAAGCTGGGACTGCGGGAGGACGTGGATCTGCACGTCTACGAGGTCCCTGTTGAATACCAGACAGTGCAACGACTCATCCCTGCCTTGTGGAAGAAGCACAGCCCCCAAGTGAGTGAGTAAAGGCAGGAAAACCCCCCAGCAAAGGCTCGAAACCCACAGAGAGCATCATGTGAAGTCCCATTTTTAACGTCTTCCTTCAGACTGGTGGTCCCTGCCCAGATCTTTTCATCTTTTTGTAGTGAGAACACGTGAATTTGGAGGATTTTACAGCTCAGAGTGCTCCAATTCATGGGAGCAGTGGGTGTGAAGAGGCCACTGCAAAGGGCTGTCTAGACAACCCGTGGTTAGTCTGTGCCACCCGGGCTCTTCCAGCAGCCAGTGCTGGTTTTTACCCTGATTAAATCACAATTTATGTCAGGAAGGGGTGAAACAAAAATTGTGCTGTATTAAACCCCTGATAAAGTTGCTCTGAAGCACCTGGGAGAACTCTTGTAACAGCTCCATCCTTAACTGGGAATAGAATCGTGGAATCACAGGCTGGTTTGGGTTGGAAAGACCTTAAAAATGTCATCCAGTCCCACCCTCTGCCACGGGCAGGGACACCTCCCACCAGCCCAGGTTACTCCTTTGATCCAACCTGGCCTTGGACACTCCCAGGGATGGGGCAGCCACAGCTTCTCTGGGCAACCTGTGCCAGGGCCTGCCCACCCTCCCAGGGAAGGATTCCTTCCCAGTATCCCATCTATCCCTGCCATCACAGAATGATTTCTGCTGGAAAAGCTCCCTCTGGGATCCCAGAGTCCAGCCTGTGACCAGTCACCACCTCATCAGCCAGGGCAGAGCATCCAGTCATTAAACCCCCCCGCCACGGGCAGGAATCACGGATATCCGGAGCTTGGAAGGCTCCCACGAGGATCAGGCCTTTTGATGGGGGGGTCGATCCAACTCGTTTTCTCTCTTCCCTTCGCAGCTGGTGGTTCACGTGGGAGTTTCGGGCATGGCCACGACGGTCACCCTGGAGAAGTGCGGCCACAACGTGGGTTACAAAGGGCTGGACAACTGCCGGTTCTGCCCGGGCTCCCAGTGCTGCGTGGAGGGGGGGCCGGAGTGCATCGACTCCATCATTGACATGGACACAGTTTGCAAGAGGGTCTCGGCTCTGGGGCTGGACGTGGCCGTCACCATCTCCAAGGACGCCGGCAGGTGCGATCCGCGGGGACAGGGCGGGGAGTCGTGGGCTCCTGGAAGGGGTTGGGTGGGAAGGGGGGGGTCTTAATCTCACCCAGTGCCACCCCCTGCCACGGGCAGGGACGCCTCCCACTAGCCCAGGTTGCTCCAGCCTGGCCTTGGATGCTTCCAGGGAGGGGGCAGCCACCACCTCGTCGTCGTGTCACGTGTGTTCTCTTCGTGCTCAGCTCTTGAGGCCCCTGCAATCCACACACTTTTCACTGAATCACAGGGTTGGGTGATCTTCTTCACCCTCGAAGATCATCAAGTCCAGCCATTCCCCCCAGCCCTGCCAAGGCCACCACTAACCCATGTCCCCAGGTGCCACATCCACAGGGTTTTTGAAGTCTCCCACACCTCACTTCTCACAGGGTTGGCACCACCACCTGTCTTTCGGTGGTCACCCAACCATCATGGATAAAAAAACCCAGCTCTTCCTGGTTTTTTTGGTCTTAGATTTAATTAGAACAACCCCAGACTCACAATTCTAGGCTCATATTCTGCTTCATTCCACTAACCCCGGCGTGCCACCGCTGTTATGCTGCTCCATTAACAGCTCCTCCCGGCCTGGATTTGTGATTTTTTTGTGTAGATAATCCCTTTTTTTTGCCTTTCAGGTACCTCTGCGACTTCACTTACTACACCTCCTTGTACCAGAGCCGTGGGAGGTCGGCGTTTGTTCACGTCCCTCCGCTGGGAAAACCGTACTCGGCGGAACAGCTGGGCCGGGCCCTGCAGGCCATCGTAGAGGAAATGCTGGATCTCTTGGAGCACTCCGAGGACAAAATCAACTGTCAGCATGAACACTGAGGGCAGGGAGAGAGACCATCCTGGTGTTGCACTTCCGGAATTTTCCCCGTCACTCAAGTACTTGGGGGGGAAAAAAAAAAAAACAACACA